CGCGCGCGCGTGCGCGTGCGCGTGCGCGTGCGCGTGCGCGTGTGTGTGTGTGTGTGTGTGTGTGTGTATGTGTGTGCGCATGCGCGCGCGTGCCTGTATGTGATGGGTGTGGGGAGGGGCAAGGAGTATCTGTGCTTCTGAACACTTCTCAGTCTTACCAAGAAGTCCTGACAACCTCCATGGTAGAGTGGGTACGAAAATGTGCCCACCACTCCGGTTGTCCAGGCCTCCCTCAGGAAGGCGCTAAAGGGTGGCCTATCACCCTCTCTTCCCCCTTCTCTCTTCATTAATCTTACTTGCTTTCTTCAGGGTCCTGCTCTGGGCCTCTAAGGAGCCATTCTGAATTCGGAGTGTCTGCTCTCTTCAAAGATTGCTAGCCGGAGGCTTTACCAGGGACCCACGGGTGAATTACTTGTGACTGTGATTATTTCTGTTTTGAGTCATGTGTATATCACCTCCCACCCAAGGGGGAAGAACCCTGAGGGCAAAACCCCTGCATGCTCCTCTCCCTCCTCTGGCCAGCCTGGAGACTGGTAAAGGAGAATTCATTGTTTCCACCCTGTCACACTCAACCCATTTAATTCTGACACAGTCATGGAAGATGAGACTGGATTTTTAAAAATATCCATTTTTATGGTGAGGATCAGTGAAACACCATGGAGTCAATGTCTTCCATAAAGTCACAGAGTACAGAGTTAGCCTGGGTGCCCTTCCCCAGCTCACAGTACAGTACATGCCAACAGTAAGGATGCCCCCAGAGCAGGCAGGACACAGCTCAGAAGCCTTGATTTATCAGAGACTAGGCCATGTATGAAGGTCTATTTTGGTTTTAATTTCTTGGGGCAAGGGTGTCAGCTCCCAGGGCACTGGGACAAAATGTGTGTTGAATAGGGGAGTACTGAAACACCGTTGTGTCTCTTGTAGCCCTCCTAGAGGAAGAGGACAGGCTGTTGAGGTGAAGGGGAAAAGTCTGAAGAGAGAACACGTGTGCTGTATACCATGTTCCTCTCACAGGAGTGCAAAGGGCCATGTCTCATACTGGAGGCTGCACTGGCTAGACACAAACAGAAAGACCACAGGCAGAAGAAAGGCAAAGATAAAGTTGCTTGTAATTTCACCAAGAGTTATGTTTGCTCAGAGCTCAATTCCATCCAGGGCATCAAGGAGATGGTGTGTGGGAACAGCAAAGAAATGTTTTCCAAGGGTTGTGGGTGATCTAGGTTAACTTATTGGATCTCCATGGAGACATGTATGTTATCTCCATGGATACCAGCAATCTGGGGGTAGCATCCTCCATTTACATGTGTGAATGGAGGGGCAAGCAGATTGATTAACTTACCCAGGGTCATAAAACAAGTAGCAAAGCAAAGATGTGAGCCTACACCTGCCTGATCCTGCTGCCTAATACGAAAGGCAGGGTTCTCTCTGATGCTGAAGGGATGTCCTTAAGTATCCCAATGAGCCTAGCCTGGGCTGTCCCTTAGCTGCTGCATCCCAATAGCTCCTGAGTGATTTGAATCACAGAAGGGTCAAGCCAGACGAGATCATAGCCTCTGCTGCCTAGCAGCTTACCCTGCTCTCAGGCATGGCAGGGGAAGGATGTGGGCCACTTATTCTGTGGAGGCCAGACCTTGGCTGGAAATTTTGGGCACCGAAGAGGCATTGGGTATTTTCCCTCTGTAAACCTTAAATACCCCGTAACTCTTAGAGTGGCTTGGACAGCTAATAGGGAAAGACCCTGAGTGGATTCCATGAGAGGCTAAGCTGGGAGAGGGAAAGCAGGGGTGTTGCTGGAGTTTCTTGTCCCTCCAGGTCCCACCACTCTTTCAGCCCCAAATAAACACACAAAGACTTATATTAATTATAAAACTGTTGGCCCATGGCTAGGGCTTCTTATTGGCTAGCTTTCTCTTAATGATTAACCTACAACTACTAATCTATGTATTTCTACATGGCCTTATCTTAACAGAGAATGCCAGGTGCGTCCTGTCTTCCCAGTCTCTACATGGCGTCTCTCAGTGGTCTCTCTCCACCTACCTTTCCCAGAGTTCTCCTCATCTCCTGCCTCTACTGGCCAAACAGCGTTTTATTCATCAACCAATAAAAGAAACATATATACAGAAGGATGTCCCCCATCACAGGGACTCTGGGCCAACCAAGACCCAGAGGTGGCAGCGGCATCCGTGAATCATGAAGAGGGCCACAGCCAATTGCTGTGAGCTGGAGAGGACAGGGGCATGTCTGCAGGATTATCCTGCCCCGGGGCTGCTGAACTTCCACCCACTTGTCTACTTCAGCTGGGTTTTGTGCCTCTGCAAAGCCCTCTCACTCCTCCTCCATGTAATCACAGGGCTATGTGTCCCCATCGTAGAACTTGTCACCCTGCACTGTAACTCTGCTCAGCTCCCATCTTCACCACTGTAGTACAAGTTCAGTGCATACTGATTTTCTCTAATTCCCCCAGTTGTAGGGCTGGCTCTAGCTCAGGAGGCAAGTGGGGGTGGCACTCAGTCCAGTGGAAGACTCAGCCAGGTGTGGGGAGGCTGGGAAGTCATTTAGGACAGGGAGCTTTTCTACAGAGAAAAGAGAAGATGGGTATCTTTCAGTTTCCTTTGCTTGTTTGTGTGTATCGGTCACCCTCCCCATGTGAAAGTCTGGGGCCACTTTCTGCTAGGTGATCTTGAGATCTTGCTATGTGACATGTGCATGCCTCAAAATCAGCACACCATGCAAAACTACACACCGAAACCCACAGGGCGTACTATTATTATACTCAACAAACTAAGAACATAAAGAAATTACATCAATGCAATCAAAGCCATTTACACAGCTAACATCATGGCCAATGATGGAAGATGGAAGCCTTTCTCCTAAGATCAGAGCAAGGCAAGGTTGCCTGGCCTGCTCTCACTTCAATTCAATTCAATTACAAAACATCGAGTAATGCTGATTTTAAAACCTTCAAGCGATTTAAACACACACTTCTCCAAAGACAATACACAAATAGTCAACACACATATGAAAAGATAATTACCATCCTTAATCTTTAAAGAGAAATGCACAGCAGACCATAAAGAGACATCATCTTACACCCCTCCAGATTCTACCATTACAAAAAAAAAGAAAGAAAAAAGAAAAAAGAAAAGAAAAGAAATAAAGAAAAGAAAAGAAAAGAAAATAACCAGTGTGGCAAGGAAGGTGGGGAATTGGAACTCTTGCTCGGTGGGATTGAAAAACAGTGCAATTGCTCTGGAAAACAGTTTGGCGGCTCCTTAAAATATTCAACATACAATTGCCATATAACCCACTAATCCCACTACTGGGTATATACGCCGAAGAATTCAAGTGGTGTCTGCAGGAGATGTTTACAAGTTCGAATTCAGTGCAGCATAGCTCCCAGCAGCCAGGAGATGGAAGCCACCCAAGTGTCTGTCAGTAGAAGAACAGATAAGCAGAATGCAATGTATACAAGTCTTTGAGCTGCTGTCAAGAAATGACCAATGCTTGGTATTTACAAAGAACAGAAACTTAGGCTGGGTGTGGTGACACATGGCAGTAAAGCCCGGCACTCTCGGGAGGTGGAGGTGAGAGGATTACGGATTTGAGGCTAGCCTGGGCTGCATAGTAAGACCCACACCCACTCACACACCCTAACCAAATCAAACCAAACAGCAACAAGAAAGCACTTCAGAAATTAATTTTTCTCTGTTCTGGAACCTGGGAGTCCAAATAATAAAGTCCCTGACAGAGTCAGTGTCTGCTGAGGGCTGTTCTCTGTTTCAGAAATGGCTGCATTGCTGTGTTGACGGGGTGGAAGGGGTCACCACTGTGTCCTTGTGTAATGCAAAGGCAAAGGGAGGAAGTGTTCTCTTTCAGTCTCTTCATAGGAGCACCAATCTCCTACACAGTTCAGTCACCTTGGGCTAAATTCTAAAATAACAATTTAGACAGACATTCAAGTCATAGCAGTACAGAAAGTAGTATATTAGCCTTAGAGGGGAAAAAGTCTGCCTTGCAGTGGTGGTGCACACCTTTAATCCCAGCACTGGGGAGGCAGAGGCAGGCAGATTTCTGTGAGTTTGGGGCCAGCCTGGTCTACAGAGCTACATAGAGAAACACTGTCTTGAAAAAAAAAATTCAATGAAAAAAATTGTGGAGTGGTTTTACAAGGTGAATCAATTTGATACTCCTGAATTACACACTGAAAAGTGGTTACTTTTATGCTATGTGATTTTTTTATCACAATAATATTAATTTTAAAGACTATCACAGTGTTTATGGCAAAATGAGATAAGAGCACATTAAAAACAGTTCCTTGGTAACACGCAGATAAAAAGAGATCAGACCATAATAAAAAGGTAGTTTGTAATACATATTAAGTGATGGGAATGCATAAACACTACAATAAATATTTTTTTTTCTTGAAAAGGCTCTGGAGTTGGTCTGTAGGGCAGGAGGGCTGTGCAAAGTCGGGAAAGGGCATCTGCCATCTAACAGAGTAGACTCCGCTGTGACTGGACAGGTCTTGTAGCCATTGGAGAAGTCACCAGTGGATTACTCTGTGGCTGGGTGATGATCTGTGTCTGGAAATGCCCTTGAAGACTTACCCAGAGGGATGCTTTATTCAGAGACTAAAAATCACTCAGCTCAGTTGAGTCAACTGTCACTACACACGGTCAGGGCTCCCACAAACTCCTTCAAAAGCCTGACAGTCTTCCAGCTCTGCGGGGCCATCTGTTCGAAATTCTTCAGTGTTTTAAAAGCAGCCTCAAGTTAGCGGTGAATGAACCAGTGCTGTGTGTCCCAATGAATCTTTATTCATAAAAACTGCCCTTCAGAACTGGGTGTTAGTGGCACACACCTTTAGTCCCAGCACTCAGGAGGCAGAGGCAGGTGGATCTCTCTGAGTTCAAGGCCAGCCTGGTCTACAGAGGGAATTCCAGGACAACCTCCAAAGCAATACAGAGAAGCCCTGTCTCAAAAAAACAAAAACAAAAACAACAGCAACAACAAAAAGAAAAAAACAACCAAACAAACAAAAAACAAAAACCAACCAAACAAACAAAAACTAAACAAAACTAAACAAAAAAAAACCTGCCCATCAGCCAACAGGTTGTAATTTGTCGATCACTGGCCACTGGCCGATCGTTTCTCATATGGAAAGTCACATGAGAGCTAAGTAAGATTTACTTCATACTCAGATTATTCCTTCATGTATGGATGGGTGGGAACAGAGTCACATTTTCAGCACAAGTTGTCAGAGCAGAGCTGAATGAAGCCCATTGGCTGTTATGGGGCTGGGGAAGTGAATTATAGCACGAGGTCCCGAGATATTGGTACTTCCACAGAAATAGACATTAGAAGTCACTGGCTGTTTCACGTTGCTATTGGGAACACTTTAATTTTGCTAAGTACTTAGGATGCGGTTTGAAATGATGCGTGACTTCGTCCTTCTAGAGCAACTTGAGGTTTGCAACATAATTGGGAGGAAGCTTCAGAGGTGTCCCCAGCCCTTTGCTGTGACAAGCCCACACTGGCCCATCACAGTTGCTCAAAGTCCATGCCCACTTCATGGCCCACTCTTCATGTAGGGTGTCCTATTGTTTTGGACAAAATATAGTGGCAGATGTCAATCATTATTATAATATCACACAGAATAGTTTTACTGCCCTAAAAATACTGTGTGCTCTTCACTGACTCCTGGCAGCCACCCATCTTCCTACCATCTCCATGGTCTTGCTTTTTTCATACCATACTCTTGCAATCATGTGGCATATAGCATTTTAAGATGACTTCTGTCACTTAAAACTCAACACTTTCTGAATAAAAGCATTTTATATAATTTTATTAATTTTATATAATTAATAAAAGTCATTATTGCCAAATATAAAAATTGCATTAAAAGGGGGGGTGCTGGTGAGAAGGCTCAGTGAGTAAAGGCGATTGCTGTGCAAACCTGGCAACCTGAGTTCAATCCCTGGAACTGACATAATGATGGAAAGAGAGAATTGACTTCACAAGGTTGTGTTTCCTGACAGCTACATTGTGCATACCCTCTCCAACAAACAGCGTGTGCACACACACACACACACACACACACACACACACACACACACACCAATAATACAACTTTAAAAATGGGATAAAGTACACAAATTATATAAAATGTACTGTTTCAATTGAAGCACATAGCCTGGCACGAGCATTTGGTACATTTGTAGCTCTATGCTAACTTCATGACTGTCTAGTTTGAAAATGTTTTCATCACCTCGAGAGGAAGCTCATTCCTTTAGGCCATCAATTCCTATCCCATCCTCTTGCGGAATCTGGAAGATCCTTAGAACACACACACACACACACACACACACACACACACACACACACACACACACACATACACGCATACACACACACACCACACACAAACACCACCCATACACACACCACACACATACCATACACACACACATACACCACACACACACCACACACACACCATACACACACATACAAACATTTACACAGATACATACACACACACCACACACACACAAATAAATACATACACACATCACACACATACCACACACATAAACACCACACATTCACACACCATGCACACACACACCACACACACAAATGTACATGCACACACACACCACACACACAAATGTACATGCACACATGCTTGCTCATGTCTGAGGTGGAGCTGTGCTTACAGTCAAGAGTATACTATATGTGCTGTTTGAGTAAGCACACTCTTGATCATATTCTTAAGTGAGTTTTGTGCAGGCAGGCTTGGGTGTTACATTGGTCTGATAACGGCCATCTATCTAAAGTGCTTGCAGAATGCCATGCTTCAGCAGAGAGATGAATTGTGGAGCCTGAAGAATGATGGGCAGAGTAGAAAGGCATACATTTGTTATTAATGAGACGAATTATTCATCATTGGAGGAGCAACTGCAGCCGACATCTTCCAAAGCAACAAGCAAGTGCCCTGTGGGACAGGAGAGGAAGACACAAATAGACGAAGCTGTGTCAGGCTTGGTTCCTGAGACGTATTTAAAAAGATGGCCTGTCACATTGCAAGCAAGGCAACCAAAGGCGGGGGGATTGTGAAATCCCTTGGAATAAACAGCAAAAAATTCAAACTGATGAAAAGTTGGTGTGACTGGCTTGCATGTCATGTGGGACTGGTTTTAAAGCATTATGACTCAGTTTAATGGCGGTATCATCTTTCTCCATGGTGTGTAAATAACAGTGCATCTTACCAGCGACAGCCCTTAAAAATGATACTACAGTAGAATTATCTGTTTGGGTTATTTCCATTTACTTGTCTGTTTTCCCTCTGGACTGCCAATGCTTGTTTGTAGTTTTTAACTGGTGATGGTAGCATGCTCAAAATAATAATCGTTGCTCCAAGATGGAGGCTGATTACACTGCAGATAAACAGGGAGTGGGAACAGCTGAGTCACCAGGTTCTTGAGTTTTAGTTCCCTGCCATCACAAACATGGCATTCACCTTATGGCCCCAAAGGCTGCTCTAGCTCTCGTCATCATGTTACTACTATGGAGGGAAGCAGAGGGGGAAACTTTTATGAATACTTCTTCAAAGTCATAAATGACACTGTTGATACCCTGTGGCCAGAACTGATTAGAAGGAGTCTAGATAGAAAGTACAGGCTTCTGTCTAGACATCATGTGGCTAAGACCCAAGGGTCCTATTACTGGGGAAGAAGGGGAGAATGGGTGTTGAGGGAGAGGTGCCACAATTATTAAACTTCATGGCGCCAATTCAAGTGCATTGTGGGACCTACGAGGTCTGTTCTGTAAGTACGGTGGAGCTCTCTCGTGGAGAAGGGGAGTGAGATAAATAACACTTAAAGTGAGAAGAAATAAAAATAGAGACGGGAGCAGGCCTGGTGGCATCCACCTGTAACCCCAGAACTTAGGAAGCAGAGGCAAAGAGTCACAGTTCAAGGCCAGTCTGGGCCACACAGTGAGACCCAGTCCCAACAACAAAATAGGCGAAGGTATTTGAGACAGAGGATGACCAAGCAAAGGCCCTGGTGCAGGGGAACTTTAAGTTAAGCTTAAGACCTGATAAAGTTGTCTTGGTTGGTGTGGGGTGGGGTGGAGGGGTTGTTCCAGAGAAAAGGGCCACACAGACAGCTGGCTAGCTGGAGCTCAGGCTGGGAGGGCCCCTGTGGTGCTGTGTGGTCAGCAAGGACTCATCCAACCCTTTGATCTTGTACTTCCTGTTGCGCACACCATGTTTGTCATGAGTATGTGGTGAGGAGCCCATGAAACGAAGCAAAAGGAAGTCCTTGTAAACTATCAGCGCCCCACATATGTTTGAAAGATGGCTGAGTATTTGCCATCAGGGCAAAGGCCGAGGGTGGGCACGGAAGGCATGACGTGTGTGCTTCTTCAGTCCTTCTACTGTCTGCCTGTCACCTTGGGTGGGCAATTTGCTTTGCCCATTCTCTCCATTCCCTTGGCAAAGCAAATTCAGACAAAGCCAAAGGAATTTTTAGTGGGACACAGTCAAGACACATGGGTGTTTCTAGGATGGCTGAAAGACAAGGACAGGTAGAATGGAGGATGGACAGTTCTGGGTTGTCCTGAGACCCATTTTTCTCTCTCTTTTCCAGGAGGCACAGACACACAGTGACCTGTGCAGCCAGAGACCAGTTCAAGAAGTCAATCTGGGCTCACAGGAGTCAATCTGCAAGGTTCCTGATGCCTGGGCTAGAGCGAGGGTTTAAGGGGAAGTGAGGCACACAGCTCAGTTTCAGAGATTTTAGACCTCCTTCCCTCCCTCCCTCCCTCCCTCCCTCCCCTCCCTTCTTCCCTCTCTCCCACCTTCCCTTCCTCCTGCTTCACTGCCTCGTACAGTCTCAAGCAAGTCACTGCTCAGAGTGAAGCCCAGGGCATAGGCTCTGAGGTGTCATAGGAACATGGCCGGGGCTGCTCAGCATCAAGTCAGAATTGGTTCCTTCAGCAGAGTGGGATAATGGAATCATTCTTTGTAAATAAAGACATCGAAGACAGAGGTTAGAGCTGAAAAATGTCACCTGAGGTCAGCTGGTCCCACTCTCCCAGAATACAGAGAGGAGCAAGCCCTTGATGCAAAGCTCCACAACCAGACTTGACTTTTGAAGACCTGCTTCTCAGTGTCTAGAGTCTGACTTGCCTGAGTTTTTCAAGTGCTTCCTCAGTGGCGCTCACAACAGTCCTGGGGTGTAGGCAAGAGAATTTCTAGTTATAGGGAAGCTGAGGCTGGCCAGTGTCCAAGGTCACAGGGCCACTTGAGGTAGAGCTGGTGCTAGAACTGAGAAGGATCCAGACTTTCTTTCTTTGCTATGTAACTTGGAGCTTGTCTTCCACAGCAGAAACAGTAGTAACTGTGTTAGGCCAAGACAGCCTCTGGCCTTCCCCCTCCCAGCCCCAAACAGTTATTGCTGGATAAGGGTTACCTCAGGAGCCCTCGTGTATCTTCCTGACCCAGACAGTCCATCCCTGACTAAGACATTCTTTTTCCTGGCAGGAGTTTGGTTTTCCATGGGTCACTCTTTTTAATAAATGTCCTCTTCTCACCCTCTGCCCCCAAGCTACCCTCAGTTCCCGACACCTTAGTTTAGATGGGTGTGGCAGCCACTTGGTCCCCTTTCGTACAAGAGGCTTCAGGCAGCTGCCACACAATGCTGTGTGGTCTGATGTAGGATATGAATATTTTAGATCTGAGTTGTTCTTAGAGACTGGAACATGTAATTGCCAGAGGCATGTGGACTCTGGTTCCCCGGTGATAGGGATGGATGTAAGAAAGATGCATTGAAAACAGGAAAGATGATGGGGTAGGGTGAGGACATTATTTGCAAATTCCCAGCTTCTCCAGGGCTGGCGTTGGGAGATGGTTGCTAGCCCCTCAGACATAGGTCAGCCCCTCTTTGACCCAGAAACCCTTCTATCTCAGGCCCCCCCTCCCAGCACTTGTTTCTTTAGTAGCAGCTGCAGTAGTAACTGGTCTCTGTATGTGACCCCAAAGTTACCCCCAGTGAACTCACTCTACCCTTAGCTAATGTTCCCAAGGCTTTGCTCTCTGTCAGGAGGCATCACTGTAGGTGACAGGGGCCACCAGGGAACTGTCAATACAAGACAACAGGGTGTTGAACTCATCAACCAGCTGCAAAAATGTCAGTCCCGTGTGGCACCCTAGGAGTGAGTGTATGTGACCAACTGGCTGGCTAGACCTCAGCCCTCAGAGTGACACCTGAAGGAGTGGCCAAAGGTGGCTGGTGAGAGTCCAGAGATGGACGACTGCTATCAACTATTACGCTGATGGCTCCTTAGTTTGCCCAGAAGACACAAAAGGAGGGACCTTCAATGCCAAGGTGTCAAAGGTTAGTGGGGCTCTGCTTCCCAGACTCTAAATGCAACTCAGTGTCCTTTAAGGCAAGGCATCCCCCTACTGAGCTGGCCAGTTAGCCACCCCATCATATAGGCTATTCGCACACAAGGGGTTCCTGAGAAGGTCATCTCAAGGGGCCTTCCCCTCTTCTGCCAGCTCCATGTCAGGCTCCAACCTTGAGGAGAAGATTCTAGGGGTACAGAGCCATGAGAACTTGGGCAGAAAGGACTATTTGGGGGTAACTTTCCTCCCAGGGGCTTTGAGAGAGGTGGGTACTTAGGGTTCCCTGGATTGATCTTCAGGACCTCAAGATAGAGTTCCTGCATTCACTCACAGGGCATTTATTGTCTACTGTGTGCTGGTCTCTTAATGCTGGGCACATCATCCTAACTTGAATGGACTTCAATGGCTGCCAGGGAGGTCATAGAAAAAAAAAAAAAAACCTGTTATCAAGTCAAATGTGACCAAACTCCATTGGGGAGGAATAGTCCAGGTTCATATGTGAGTTAAGTGAGATGCTAAGTTAAGTGAGTGTGCACACATGCTCACAAGTGTGTGTGTGTGTGTGTGTGTGTGTGTGTGTGTAGAATTTGGAAGAGTCTTCCTGGTAAACGGAACAGCTAGGGCAAGCGCAGGTGAGACTTTCCAGAAATGACTCCTAGGGCAGGTGTGGGGAGCTGGGGCTACTGAAATAGGCAGGAGCCCCTCCCTCAGAGAGAGCCCTTCCTGCAAGCCTTGGTTTTTTTTCTTACCTGTCTAGACTCTGCATCCAGAATCGTTCGGGCCATCCAGTTCTTGCAGGAAACCTGGGGAGGGATAAAGGCTTATTTCCTGTCCTGTGAATCATGAAGGAAACAAAACTTCCAGCCACGTTTGCCTACACCAGGGTCAAAGGTGACTCATGCTGGTGGAGTGACCTTCACTCTCAGACAGGCTCAGTGCATCCATGCTGTGTAGGGAAAGCATTAGGGGGAGAATAAAACCTCAGATAATCTTTACATGGAGAGAACCAATGAAGTATCTCTCTCTCTCTCTCTCTCTCTCTCTCTCTCTCTCTCTCTCTCTCTCTCTGTGTGTGTGTGTGTGTGTGTGTGTGTATAGGATCTCATGATGTAGCCCAGGCTGGCCTGGTATTGCTGATCCTCCTGACTCAGCTTCCTGAATCCTGGGATTATAGGCATCATGTACCACCACACTCAGCTCTCTGCTTCCCCCCCCTGTATGTTTTATTTTGTTACATAGTAGAGGTAAAGTATGCATAGATTTCTTACTTCCCTTACACTCTTAACATAGCTGTTCCCATGATATTACAATGCTCCTTGCTTTGCAGGCTGCACACATTCCATCAAACCACGACATCTTTCTGGGCCATTTCCACATGGTGGCTTTTTGGGGGTGAGGGAGTGGTTCGAGACAGGGTTTCTCTGTGGCTTTTTGAGGCTGTCCTGCAACTAGCTCTTATAGACCATATAAGTGGTGGCTTTTTCTGGGGTTCCCTAGGCTCCCCGGCTGCCTGTGAGATCCCAGGCCTTGACAGTCCTGGTGCCCAAGCTAATACCGCATCCAGAATCACTTGGGGAGCCCAAAGAAGATTCAGGCTTCTGAAGCCAAAGTGTAGGAAGCAGGATGGGGTGTCTGTTATGATAAAGCGCAAGGGAAACCTGGGCCGATTCCATGGCAGGTGAGGGTGACTGAGGTGGGGGACAAACAACCCAGGCAGACAGCTCAGTGAGAAGTTTTATTAGAAAGGGAAAGGGGGAAGGTAAGAAAAGAGGTAAAGAGACACAGAGACAGAGACAGGACAGAGGAGAAGAGGGAGACAGGAAAAGTCCTGTCTGCCCCAGGGGAATAGCGGAAAGAGAGGAAAAGAGAGCGGGAAAGAGGGAAAGAAAGAGAGAAAAGAGAGCAGAAATAGAAAAGCGGGAAAGAGAGCGTAAGTGGGTGGGGTCTGTCTTTTAAAGGGGTCCTTTGCACCTGTCTGCAGATTAGCAGTCATGGAACCCTGGGCTGATCAGGGAACTGCCTGAGTGCATTCTGCTAGATGACATGGGCAGGCTAGCATAATGCCTGAGTCCTAACAGTGGGGGATTTTAAAAACTGCCCAGCATCTTCAGAAGCCATGGTATGTTAAAGCCTCCATGGTTGCACAGATCCTTCTAGGAACTTAAAACAAGATGCTTCATCTTAAACTAGATAGAGCAATGCCTGCCTTGCAGAGTCATTGGGGAAAAGGTTTTGTGGAACTGAGAAGGGATTTTAGGGCAGTGTTGAGAACCAAATGGACTCTTTGCCCTACTGCTCAGCTTGGATTGTTTTCTTTCCTCCAGGGAGAGTGTTGCTGATTTAGAACCCAGGTCTCCTTGTTCTCCTTGGCTTCCACGTAGAACGCATGCTTGGCCTTTCAGGTATACATCTACTGAATGGCACAAATGAAAAGTCAGAATGCATTGAGGACCACACGAGCTATGTGTACTCAGGACACTGCGGCAGAGTGCACGACCTTACTGACCAGGGAGCTTCTAACAGATGTGGAGGACAGGTAGGAACACTGCCTCGCCCATCACGGATGGGGGTAGACTCCAGAAGGAAAAGAGGAAGTTAGCCTGTACTGTATTTGGCTTGTGGTTGTGGTCTGGCGAAAACTGTTGGTGCTTGCACATGAGATAAGCACAGAAACTCTGAGTGAATGCTTAGAAGTCGTTACCGCAGTTTCCCACCAGGCCCAAGACACGGTCGTTTTTCTAGAGATTCATTTTGATAACATTTCACAAAAGCATTTATCCACAACTGATCCTTCACCGCCGAGAGCTTGAGATGCACACCCTGCAACTGCTCAGTGGTATCTGTGGCACCCCTCTCCCCGCTTTGGTCATTGCTGTTGTTAGGACTGTGACTCCCCAGGAAGAGGCCCAGAAGAATCTGGGGGAAATCCAGATGTCCCCAGGAAGACAGGGCTGTGGAAGCTTGAGGACAGCATGAAGCTAGGGGAACGTCCTGCTCCCGGAATGTTCTCCCTGAAGATAACCTCAGCATCCCACATTGCCTCTGCTCTCAGCACCCCCTGCTGTGGCTGAGGTCCTATCCTTTCCGCTGCAGACTGAGCCTGGTTTTCTGGTTTTAGCTGCTCCCAGGCACGTCAAACGTCAAACGGAGACATTTTTGTTAAACACTTACTCTGATGAACTCATTTGCTTTTTCCCAGTGGCCTTGTGAGATACGCTCTATTTTTAATCTTCAATCTTAAAACAAAATAGAGATGGCTTTTCAAAATTCACTCTGTAAGTGGCAGGAGTGGAAGAGGGCTTCCAGACTGCCCATTCCAGGCTCAGGATCCAAACTAGCTTTTGACATATTGGCTGGCTCTACCTTCTAGGGCCTTCAAATCTGGTTCGGTTGGTGAGACCTGGAGTCTTAGCCATCTGACAGTCCTGACTGTACACCCAGGTGAAGGGCCAGACCCTTACCCAGCCCCCTGCTTTAGCAGTCATGACAGGCTGCAGAAAAGACCCAACAAGACAAAGGCCCCTGACTCAGCAACGTGTGCTTGCCTGACTTTGCCAGACCTCCTAGTCACCAGGAACTCAGATACCTCCATGTGGCAAGGAACCAATCAGAAGTTAGCTGGCGGACTCTAGGCATGCTTTACGGTAAAAGTGGGTAACAGTGGTATGCAGAGCATAGGAACCACCCTGAGAGGGCTTATAGGTCATAGCAACCAGCTGACCAATCAACACAGGACATGTTGCCCAACCCTGGAAGTGCACCAATCCTGAGACTGTTGTGGACTTCAGACACTCCCCTTACACACCCCAATAAATTCCCTGCCTTGTGGTTTCCCCAGGTCCTTCTCTCCACCTGCCGTGATGAACGGGACAAAAGGCAGTTAACTCGTTAATAATAAAAGATTCTTTGCTTTTGCATTAGAATGGATCTCTTGGTGATTTTGGGGTTCAGAATTTGGGCACAACAGAAGGGACTCAGAGAAAGGAAGAAGCCTTGGGGACCTTAGGAAGGCGGCCATTCTCTGGCCTGCTGTCACATCCCTTGTTCCCCAGAAGGCATACTCTATCAGTGCTCCTATTCCTTCTCTCTAGGATCCTGATTCCACCCCCTCCTCCCAGGAGCTCCAGAGGGGCGCCTATGGCTTCATCCTCACAGTGAGCTTAGAGATTTGAATGAGGGCTCTGTCACCTGGTGCAATAATGACAGGGATGAGTGACTGCCAGTGCCCTTAGCTCCTCAGGCCCTGACGCCCTTCATCATCCCACAGCCTCTCAGCCTTGAGCTGTCTCTTTTGCCTGGGCTTTTCCAATGGGAAATGCCTGGGGCAGTCTTTGCAAGCTCTAAGGGGCTCTGGCCGGCCTGGCTTCTTATTGACTCTAGGCCTGTTCAAGTCTGGCTTGGCCTTAAAGGCTGAGCTGAGGTTACCTGCATCCAGAGAGATATTCCCGCACTGGTGTGGTGGACTCGCCACATGGTGACAGGCTCTAGGGCGCTGTGGCCTCAACACACAACCCTACCATCATCACGCTGCCCCCATCCTAGTCCCTAACTCCCTATAGTCCTGACTTTGCTTTACCACTTGTTGGCTTCCCAAGCCTTTCTACTGGGATCATCAAACTTGGGTGTGTGTGTGGGGGGGGGGCTCAACTACCCAGGAGATGGTTTGATGAGAAAGTTCTTGTTATTCTTATTATACTAGTCAGGAAAAGACAACCAGAAAGGTCAAAAGACAAGGCCGAGACCACAGAGATAGTGGATTTTAGTGGCATAATTCGCCCTCAAGTTCTGATGTCTGGAGCACCCTAAAAACAAAGCCCAAACATGCATATCACACTTATTTCACCTCTTATTTTATTCTCTCATTAATTTATTTAAGAAATTTCATACTAGGATATTTATACATGGGTCCTATTTCCTGTATGGATTTTACTTTTTTTTTTTCCTTCTGTCTCTAGGTCCCTTTTCCTGTTCTCCTGGCGTCTCTGAGTCCTCCCAGAGCCTTCTCAGAGCTGTTCCTCCCAGCCAGCCTCTCAGATCTCCCTCAGTGAGCTAGGTGGAGAGAGCTCCAGCCAGGGCTGCATAAGCAGACCCTATACCCTACATATGTCCTTGGGATCCTGGATCCGGAGGGTGGGGCTTCGTTCCTGGCAGGACAAACAGTCCCGGTTCTGAAGGCCCCAGAGGCCAGGACAGAGTTTTAAATAATCAGCGCAAGGCTGGTTGTGTTGTCGGCATTGACTGAATCAGGGTTAATTGTTGGTTGGTGCTGAAATGATGAATGAGACAGGCTTTAAATAGGAACCCTATGGGTTTCAGCCTCACCCTGAGTGAGAACTGAGTGCCTGTGTCTCCTATCCAGAGTCCCCCGGAGGCAGAGGCAAAGGCTAAGGCTGTGGAGGGCTGCCAGGTCCAGCTCTACCTGCTTTGTAGGGGTGGGTTTGGAGTTCCTGGACAGAGATCCAAGGGCCCGATGAAGGTTAGAGAAGCCGAGAACTTGATGATTTAATAATCCATGGATCAATCCATCTCTCCATCTGTCATTTTTCTGGCTGAGCCTGCCTGTCACAGGCCCCATGGTGGCCCACCTGCTGCTTTCCTGGCTCCACTTTGTACCCTATTCATCAGAGGAGGCATCTGCAAAGAAAGCAGGTTTATCATTGGAGCTCAAACTCAAATGTCCTGGCTCTGTTCCCAAGCTAGCTGTCACCATGTCACGGGCTCCCAGTCTTCCTTTGCTGGCCAACCTGAAGAAGGGCCTATCTGACCCAGCGAAGACTAGGAGAGGAGATGAGGTGGCCAGGAGAAGACCAGCACTGTGCCAAAGAAGAGCTGGGGTGCAAACGGGTTCTTGAGCTCCTCATCTACCTCACAGCCTGCTGGGGTTGTTCAAGGGAAGGTTCCAGAGAGAAAGACAGTAAGCTTTGAAGGGCGGGCAGAGGCCTTCACATGGATGCGTCTGGCTGACGATTCCTCCTTCGCTTCTGGCCTCCAGTCACAGTCCTTGTGGGTATTAGTGGTCCCTTCCACATACACACCCTTGCTCTTCTTGTCTGTAAGTCTTTGAGATGTGTGCCTATCCTCGGCCATCTCTTGACTTTTGACCACAAACCTCCACGTTAGGGGGTTTACATGACTCTTTTTAGATCATTGAGAGTGTGAAGATGGCCGCAGAACCCTAGGTACATGTAACGGTACGATGACGAAAGGGTTTTTTTTTTTTTTTTCTAATGCCAGGTGCCTTCCTAAAATGTACTGGTTGAATCTGCTACGATAACAGGAGGAAAGGCACAGGACTCAAAATGTAAGATATCGAGAAGGCTGTGTGGAGACTGGAGAGGGGCTGGGGGTTAAGAGCACTTGCTGTTCTTGCAGGAGACCGGGGCTAAGTTCCCAGCAGCCACCTGGTGACTCACAACCATCTGTAACGTCAGTTCCAGAGGTTCTGGCGCCCTCTTCTGACCTTTATAAGAACTGCATGCACTTGGTGCACAAAGGGAAAAAATACCTACACAAATAATACAAAAATAAATAAATAAGCCCTTTTTAAAAATGGGGAGGGGGTGGGCATTGGTGGCGCATGCCTTTAACCCCAGCACTCGGGAGGCAGAGGCAGGAGAATCTCTGTGAGTTCGAGGCCAGTCTGGTCTACAGAGTGAGTGCCAGGATAGGCTCCAAAGCTACACAGAGAACCCCTGTCTTGAAAAACCAAAATTAATTAATTAATTAAATAAATAAAATGAGGGCAGGTGGCTAAGTTTAAATATCACTGGATTATAGAGAAGGAAAGACCAAGGGCTTAGGATGGATTCCAGGGAACAGGCAGAGGATGAACACTGTGGGGTGAACAAAGGCCATTTTTTTTTTTTTGTGGTTGTTGTTTTTGTTTTGTTTTGTTTTTTGAGACAGGATTTCTCTGTGTAGCCCAGGATGTCTTGAAACTCACTTTGTAGACCAGGGTGGCCTCAAACTCTCAGAGATCCCCTTGCATCTGCCTCCCGAGTGCTGGGATTAAAGGTGTGAGCCACCACCACCCAGATAAAAGCCATCTTTGGAATAGAAGGGTTATTGCAGCAGGTCTTTGTGGGAAAGCTATCTGATCTGTGATCCCCTTTTCCTCTGAGTTTAGTGGGGGACCAGGGAGGAGACTGTGACAACTACAACTTCCCTGGAACATCTCTCCCTCATAGTTGAGGGAGCTGCAGAAAAAAAAAAAAAACCCTCTTTTTCTATGCTCCAGGAGGGAAAAAAGAGAAGAGACACAGAGACCCCAGTTCTGTAGTTCAAAGTTCTTGGCATGCCAAAATTCCACACTTTGGAGAGTTTTCTGAGCCCCAACATTATCTTTAGCTTTTTTTTTTTTTTTTTTTTTTTTTTTTTTTTTTTTTTTTTTGCTTTTGTTTTGTATGAAAAAGGCTCCCAGGAGCTGAGGTATAGAATTGAGGCTTTTGAAGAGAAGATAAGACAATCCTGTCATCCCTAGTGGGAGATTAGGAGACAGGATGCTACACATCTAACCAGGGTAGCTGCACTGAACTGTGGAGTAAAGAGCTCTCTCCAATCTGTCATCACCTGCTCCCCCAAACTCAGGAAGCTGGGATTACCAGAACACTCACTTTCGATGAAGGAAAAAACCTGAAGTAACTGTAGTCTGTAATACCCACTCAAGCGAAGTCAAGGTTTGGAAAGACTCAGAGTTGTGCTAGAGGATGAAGCTGTGAAAGTCGCCACTGACTGGCCAATCATAGGTGGGCGGTGGGTAAAGGGTTTCAGACACCCTCCTTTCTGGTCCTTAACCATCAGACACAGTAGATGTAATCCTTCCTCTTTGATGGAAGCTCGAAAGTACTAAGAGATGTGCTCACACATCCCATGGCTAGGCAGTGAGAGGCAAGTCTGGTCTCCCACACCCCACTGGTCCTGGGGTTGGAACAGGAATGGCAGAGGGTCACCTGGGGCCATCTTCTCATGCCTAAAGGATAGTCATGGCCAAGGGCAGAGATAGGGACTTCTTCTCTGCCTGAAGCTAGGTTTAGGGTTTGGGTGATTCATGGGTAAAAATGACAAGGGGACAAATATTAGCTTAACTCCTCCAGAAGCCCTGTCCTCAAGCTTTCCAAAGGTTTAAGGAAGAGAGACAGGCTCAAAGTCCGGATGAGCTTCCAGCCCAAGTGCTTCAGAAGAAAGTCCCATGACTTGGGGCAGGCCGAGCCTCAACTTAGACAACATCCTGGTTCTACTACTGACCTGCCTCCTTTGTGACTTGATTGACTGCTTATCCTCTCCAGGTCATCATTTCCATGTTTGTGAATGTGGGGAAGCCAGGCTTTTGGGTGAGCTATGAATTAGGGTACAAAAATATTCTGCAGTGGCATTCCCTGTGTGGGCCCACCTTGGGGGCATGGACGAGGGGACACTAGCCACCCATTGCAGCTCAATGTGACTTTACTCACCATGCTGGCTACAGGCCCTGGCTTGTTGTGGTATTTGCTGCAGGAAGCCAAATACACAGGTGGGAATATGGCAGAGTTGTGGAGAAGATTCGGAGAGAGCTATCTGTTGGGTTGACTGCAGCTCATGGCATCAGTTGAACTTCTTTTTGGAGGTGAGCCCTGAGAGAGGAGAGGTGACTCTCATGATCTGTCTGAAGGCCAGCTCTCATCTCATTTCCTTCTCTGGCCTCCACACATGGCTGTGATGGTGCCGTGGATGTGCCTGGGAGAGTAACGGGAATGGACAGTGGCCTGGGCCACATTCTCTAGCCCTCTCCCACAGAGGCGTCCAGAGCAGAGGAACTGGCCCTCTCTGCAGTGCCAAAATAAACTTGCATTGTTTCCAAATGCATAAGAGGCCTCAAGTGAAGTGTTTGCCAAACTCTAAAAGGAAGGAAGGCTGTGGGGAGGAGGGAAAGGGTGCCTGGACCAAGGGAGTAGATCCCTGCTGCCCTCCCACCTCTAGCTTTCTCCCAGCTTTCAGAAAACTCCAGAGAAGCAAACCCTAAAACAAATCCTAGAGGACACTGGGAAAACCCAGGCCCTTAAGGGGACAAAGAAGGGACCATCATCCCCTTTTATTGGGTGGCAGTTACCCTCTCAGTACTTAGCTCTGTGGTCAGGGTCACGTGAGTGGGCTTGGGAGTATACACACAATGACTTCGGTTCAAATGCTGAATCTGCCATTCATTTGCTGTGTGGCCTAGGCAGTCAACTAACTTCTCTGAGCTTCTGTGTCCTGTAGGTGAAATGGGATCATAACTATCATATGTAGGATGGCTGTCTTGAAGGCTACGTCAGGTGGTACAGTAAAGGGCATAGTGCATAGTGCATAGTGCAGAAATCACTCGGCATGTGTTATTCATTATGTTGCTTGTAATAATTATAACATTAAAAAAACTTTCTGAACAATACCAAGAGGCAGTTATTGTTGTATAAAAACATTACACCGGGGTGGTGGTGGCGCACACCTTTAATCTCAGCACTCGAGAGGCAAGAGGCAGGCAGATCTCTGTGAGTTGAGACCAGCCTGGTCTACAGAGCGAGTTCCCGGACAGCCAAGTCTGTTACATGGAGAAACCCTGTTTCAAACTACAACAACAAACAACAACAAAATTACAGGAAAGTTAGGGTCGAGAGAAGTAGGTAGAGGCTCCATTCTAAGTGATAGGCCCTGAGACCCATCTGGACAGCACCTCATCTGAGATGAGGGTCTGACAGGGCTTCCTGGTTCAGATACCAGGTAGCTCTAAGACTGGGAAGTGAGAAAGCCTCAGAGGTCATGGGTATCTCCCTAGATTCCACAGGTTTGGCCATGATCTATCTGGAACTGGCTGATCACCAAAGTCTTTGCTTCCTATTGCCAGCTCCAGGTTCCCTTGTCTCTAGATCATCTGTCTGGAGTGAGTGCCTGCAGATTGGGCTCCATTCCCCAGCTTCATCTGCACAGCTGGACCCCAGGCCCTGCACAGCTGGCCTCCCTTCCACACACAGATGGTTTATGAAGCTGAGTCAGAGAGGCCAGGCATCGACTCCTGGCTCAGTTGCTCACTAGCTGGGTGACTTGTGATGAGCTCCTTGCCCTCCCTGAGCCTCAGTTTTCTTGTGTGCAACACTGAGCCTTGCATCCAGCTTCCTGGATTCCTGCAGGACCTACTGGCAAGTGTTTGAGGGCGTCGGCTCTCCTCCTTCCCTTTCCCATCTGGAGATGGGTGCTCCTGGCTCTGCCACTTGCTCTTGACCACGGGAACGTGCATCCAGGGCAGGAGCCTATTTTTCATTCTGATATGTATTTTCTGCATGTCATCCCTAATGAAAGACGAATAACTCATGTGTTTGTTTCATTAAATGCTGCCCCCACAAAAGTGTGGGCTGGTGCAAGCTCCAGAGACTGTCAACTGGAAGATATCTCCAGAATTCCTCGTAAATCACACAGTTTCATTTTGCTGCCAAGCCTGTCAACCTTCTCTGCCTTGAATAAAGAGGGGTGGTGGTTCTGGGCTTGGGCGGGGTCTGACCCGCTGGCTAGTCTGGGTTCTGCTAGCTAACTCTGGACAAGAGCAAACTTCCTCTTGTCTCCAAGCTTCGGGGTCCACTGCTAAAACCGTATGGCATGTGTCCTGCAGGATTCCATTCCTTTTCCAGTCTTAAAATTCTAGAACTTCATTTTTCCTTCCCCTGTGCCTCCCTCTTCCCAGCCCTGCCTCCCCATCTTGTAGCCCCCCCCCCCATCTTCTTCCCCCTGCCCTCCCACAGCTCTATCTCTCCCGTCAATCAGGTCAAATCAGCCTAGACTGTGGAGAAAACAAAACAAAACACATCTTTGCATTCCTGGCAGAGGACAATCTTCCAGTGCCCCTTATTGCAAAAACAGCCCTTCTTTGGGGTGGAAGGGAGGGCAGCCAGCAATCTGTGGCTCTGTCTTGGGGTTCAGGAAAGGGCAGGGAAAGCTTTGTTGGTGGAGCTGTGGAGACATAAATGTAGAAGTCAGAATACAGTCTCTTCCCTGGCTGTGGCTTTAGAACTGACTCTCAGGGCAGCTGGAGAGCGTCCAGGTCAGCCAGTGGAACACAGGGGTCTGTGGGTTGTGGAGAACTGGAGCTTGGAGTACACAGAGGAAGATCTCTGGGGGCGAAGGTCTTAGAGGGAATTCAGCCTCCTGAAAACCAGTTAGAGCTGGTTTCTAGAGGAGGGAAGGACTGGAGAGCTAACATGTCTCAGTGTCTTGACCACTAGGTCATCTCTCTGACTGAGGGCAAGAGCTGTAAGCAGGGGATCAGAAGGGTTGTTGAGAATATGGACTGAAAAGGAGCAGGATTAAGAGCAAGTGATCAGGAGAAGGGTGGTGGGACAGAGGGGACAAGGCAAGAAACTAAACATAAGAAAGGGGGGAGATGGGTAGAGACATGGGAGAAAACGGGAAGGAGGAGAGAAGGGGGAAGGAGAGATAGGAAGAGGAAGGGGATAAGGAATGGGGAAGGAGAGCAAAGAAGGAAAAAGAAAGAGGGAGTCTGATGACGCTTTTAATCCCAGCACTCTGGGAGGCTGAGGCAGGTGGATCTCTGTGAGTTTTAGGCTAGCCTGGTCTACAGAGCGAGTTCCAGGACAGGCAGGGCTACACAGAAGAAACCCTGCCTTGGGAAAAACAAAGAGGGAGCAGAGTGAGGGTCTAATGCTGCCCTAGTGCCCATCCTCCATACAGTGGTGGGAAGCAAACACCAAGCAGGGGCTGCAGAGCCTTCCTAGCATTTACATTTCTGGGTCTACGTGGGACACGGTACTCATTGCCCCATGGGCTCCCCAGCGAATGTGGATTCAGAACTTGCCATCACACTACACAAAGAACAAAGGAAAACCGTAACTCTGGAACTTTTCAAAGATTTGGCAGGCACCATGTGGTTGGCAGGTCTCTGTGGACATGATTAGACATGGATGTGATAGGACTTAAAAATACAGACTTCAAGCCGGGTGGTGGTGGTGGCGCATGTCTTTAATCCTGGCATTCAAGGCAGAGGCAGGTAGATCTCTGTGAGTTTGAGACCAGCCTGGTCTACAGAGCGAGTTCCAGGACAGGCTTTAAATCTACAGAGAAACCCTGCCTTGAAAAACCAAAACCAAAACCCAAAAACTACAATACTTTCTCCATGAAGTCATTCAGTATAGTACAGTCTTGGGGGTGCACTGAGTCCATATAGAGACTTAGAGAAACTGAACTCTTCACAATACCAATGAATACAGGAAGGACTTCTGGAAGAACAGCCAGTGCGGGGCCATCTCTCCAGCCCCCATACATAACTTTTGTTGCAAATATAAATGATTACTTTAGATTTTCTTTTTCTCAGTGATTATTGGTAATATGCATATTGATTATCTATCAATGGAAATGTATTTTTTTGCATGTCACTTTTATACCCAGCAATCTTGCTAAACTTGGGTTAACCATATTTGTACATGCTTAGATATTTCTATCCACAGAATGATAATATATATATATATATATATATATATATATATATATATATATATATAAATTTTATTTATCAACTCTTAAAATGAAATGGGTTGGATAATATGGATAAGAGGTGAGAGTAACTACCCTTGCTTGTTCTCCGCCCCACAGGCAGGGATTTGACAAGATGATCCCTGGAGTCCTTCCCAGTAGAAAGCCCTTGTTTCTGTTCATGTTCATCTTTCTGTCAAAGGCAGCTGCTCTTAGCTTTATAGGTTTTCCTCCTGGTTCAAGATAAGAAATCGTACTTGATATCCAGCCTTTTGATAGTTGCATGTTTGTAGCCTAAATGTAGAAGACTCCAGGGTCTGACTGATTATTTTGTAACATTTTATACTGGTTGAGTCATTTCCTTCCCAAACTCTCAACATTTCTAGTTCACATTTTGGAGCATGACTAATCTTCACAAGAACTGTGATAACAGAGATTGGCTCTGCCCTCTCCCTTTTAATGTCCCTTTTAATGGGAGAGATGAGCAGTAGCTCTGCTTCTGTGTCCAAAACCTGCCTGAAAGATGTAGTGCCCACTGGGCTATTCTGCTTTTGAAAGGGTGTCCAGGCTACATTCAGGTTTCAGAACACTAGCGACGGCACCACCGGGCTTGCCAATATTTACCTTCCTTCTGCAGAGAAATGCATGATGTTCTAGCAGACTTTTCTTGAGAGCTGGTGTGACAGACAGCTGGTGGAAGAATGTCTGTAGTGTTGAAGACAGTGTGCATATTGTTTAGTGTCTCCCACCCCTTACGGGGACCTAGAATGTGTTTATTTTGGAATTGAAAGTCAGCACAACTGGAAGCTCCTATTGGACCTCTATTTGTGGGGTTACACTTCCTGGGATGATTGTTAGATTAAACCATTGCCTATAAATATTGCTATTCTGGGTTTTGTTGTTCGTGGAAGCAATGCTTGGTTCTCAGATTTTTGGAAAGCAAGCCATTGTCAAGAAAAAAATAAGGGCTTACTTTGTAAATGAATCTCATTTAGCTTGTGAAGTGTGAGGCCTGACTGAGTAGATCTTGAGATAATGATGGGTAAGTCTGAGCTCTCTGTCACTGTGATCTGTGGGAAGAGGGAAGGGAGAGACCAGCCAAATCAGGCCTGGGGTCTTTCTTGTCACTTCCATTGTCAGCTTCACCTCTCTCTTCCCCAGTATGCCAGGGCACAGCCTGGCAGGTTGGGAGTTTTTGAAGAATACAGAATATGAGTGTGACAGTGGGTATCTGAGTTAGACCCGCGGGTGTGCTGGGTCCATGGGCAGCTCGTGACTTTGGGGAGCTAGCTTCACCCCTCATTCAGAAGACAGTAAGGATTCAGGATGCGCAGGAGAATGCAGACCGCTTCCCCCAGCAGCTGGGGAAACATAACACCGAATCATTTGGCATGCTGGGGCCCAAGGGATATTCAAAAGGCTGGGGTTTACCTGTGTCATCCAAGCATCCATGAACGATGATTTTCAACTGCTAAAGCAGGTCAGGAGTTTGTCAAATTGGATAATGGGAGTTCTCCCCATGCCTCTACCCAGAGAGAATAGATAAACTGCAAGGAAAACAAATGAAAGCACATTTCCCCATAATCACGTGACACAGAATGTAAGCACACCCCACTGCACATACTCTATGACCCCTAATCTCATCGCATGTCACAAGTCCTCCAGTGCAGGCATGACCGGCTTGAGTTTGAAGCCCAGGCTGTACTACAAGGTTGGGGACTCCAGGTACTTTGACATATGTCATCCTCTTTTCTCCCCGAAAATTGAATACAATTTTGTTGGCATACAGAGTGATCCATTAATATTAGACATTAATGCATTTTCCTTAACCTAATTAATGGTTCTCCTATGGTTCTCAATAAACTCTAGTTCTAAAGGAAAATTTTAGATTTTCCATGCTCGCTAAAATATACTTAGGGACCTCAGCGACCCACCTTTCCCTCAGCTCGAGCCACACCTCATCGTTCCCGTCGCCCTCTTTTGTAAAGTGGAATGTCTGGACAAAAGGAAGGACTTTGGCACAGTAGTGATAGGTAACACAGGCTTCCCTTTCTTCATTCCCATGGCTTGATGTTTCAATTTTTAACTCAGTGATCTTGCTTCATATGTGGTTTTTCATTGTGAGTCACCTTTAAAATTCTCTTTGGAAGTAGGTGGGGTATAAATTATAAATAAGAATTCCTTTTTACTTCCTCAGCATTTAGCACAATGCCTGTCTTTGTGTTCTCAGCCCTTGTTTGTTGACTGTGCCGGTAAATGGCTGCCTCCCCTCCCAACCTCCACCCACCACCGTGTCCCACCAGGCCTAGTGGAGTCTGGGAGTATGACCCTTGCTTTCTTCCTCCTCTTTCTTCTCTCTCTGGAGAATCCCCAGTTCCTGCGGCCTGTGCCCCCCGGGCTGTCAGTTGGAGGAGGCCCCCACTTACTGTCAGGCAGATTGGGTATGCAACCTGTGGCCAGCTCCGCCTGGGTTGCTGCTTAGCAAGCAGCTGGAAGAGGACTGAGCCTGTGTCCCCTGACCGCCATGGGAAAGTGATGGGTGCTAGCCTCTATGATTTCAGCCTCCCGAGATCAGAGTGGATTTCTCGCCACAGCTTAAGTCAAGTCCTATCTCCATCCCTGGATGTGTGCGCTCAGCTTTTGCCAATCAGGTCCCACCATTCACCATGCTGGAAGCTTGTGCTGAAACCTGCCACAGTGGAGGGAGCGTGCCAGAAGCTAGGGTGGGTTAACAGCCGGAGCTGGGGGCTTCAAATGGCTTCATTCATTACCCAGCCCTTTGAGGGCTTGTCACCCACCAGGCACCGGGACCTTAAGATTGCATCGGAGCCTTCGTGTCATAGCGAGGGCCTGGGATTGGCAGCTGGTCAGCATGTATGTAGAACCACATACATACACGAGGGGTGCTCACACATTTTGCACCCGCCAAGGCTGCCTACTGGAAAGAAACAAGTTAAAAAAAAAAAATCTTCCCACTCACTCAAGAGAAGGCAAAACAAAAGTTGCCCCATGGTAGGGCAGAATCTGCAATTTAAAAAGGGAAGCGTGTGCGAGCCTATTTAAGTCCTATTACACCAACGCCTCCCTTCTCCACCCCTAGCCCACCCCCTCAATCTGTCGCATTCAGGGATCTGGGGCTCTGAGCCTTGGAATGAATTAAGCAGATTCGATGACATGTCAGTGTTTGGAGGAGGGGGAGGAGGAGAAGGGAAGGTGGGCGAATAAGATGGAGGGATAAATTAAAACACAAGCAGGTGTGGGAAGTCAATTCACGAATCTCCCGGAGAGGAGATGAGGTCAGCCAGAGGGACCTGGAACGTTCCAGTGGGAACAATCACAGTAATAACGGGGCACGTTTATTAAAAGCTTCCAGGGCCAGCCGCTGTTCTAAATCTTTTACATGGATTAGCATATTTAACCTCCCAGCTGCCCACTGAGGCAGCTTTCTGTTGTAAACTCCAGATTATTGATGAGAACCATTCTGGGCTCAGAGAAGGAAGTGATTTCCCGGGGGGGGGGGGGGGGCAAGGCCACAGCCAGGCCCCAGCCCCGGGGGTCTGCTCATCCCATGGCCTCTGAATAAGTGCCTGAGACCTTGCATGACAGGAGAGAGCAAGGTGGGCTGTGTGCTATCATTGTGGGTTGGGTGGGGGTTAAGGTAAAGGGTAAGGAGTAGGATCGGGGGAGTGTAAGGATTCAGGCATTGTGCTGGCCTGCCCCTGTCACCTGGCAGAATGCACTCAGGCAGGGCCTTGGTCAGCCCAGGGTTCCATGAATACTAGTCTGTACGCAGGTGCAAAGGACCCTTTAAAAGACAGACCCTTTAAAAGACCCTACCCACTTACGCTCTCTTTCTGGCTCTTCTATCTCTCTGTTTTCTGCTCTTTTCCAGCTCTCTTCCCACTCTTTCTTCCTGCTTTCCCCCTGGGGCAGACAGGACTTTTCCTGTCTCCCTCTTCTCTCTGTCCTCTCTCTGTGTCTCTATACCTCTTTTCTCTTTCCTACCCCTCCCCCTTTCCCTTTCTAATAAAACTTGTCACCTAAGCTCTGTCTGCCTGGCATGTTTGTCCCTCTGCCTCGGCCACCCTCGCCTGCCATGGTCCCCCACCCAAAGTCCCCCTTTGCATTTTATCCTAACAGAGTTTGAACCCCGACTTACCGTTCCTTCTTCTGTGACCCTGGGCAACCTCTTTAATTCCTGTGTCTCTGTGCCCTTAAAATTGGGGGCCGAGGGTGGTGACAATGACATGGCTGGAAGGAGTTGTGTAACTCTGTAGCCAATGGTTTAGGGAATTGTCCTGATTGTCTTGGCAGACCCACTGATAACACCACTTTCTTGAGGTCACAACTGGCTTCATAGGTAAGGTTTCCTTTCCCCTCAACCACCTATGCTTTCTTTTTTTGTAGTTAAAGAGAAATGGGATAATTTAAGTTAGAAAAGCTGGCTAGAAACAAGCCAAGCTACGGCTGGACATTAATAAGTAAGAATCAAGTCTCCTTGTATTTATTTGGAAGCTGGGTGGTGGGCCCCCAAAGAGTTAAAAAAAAAACAAACAAACAAACCAAACAACCATACTCCTAATTATCAAATGGCAGAGTGGCTAGTGAGTTGAGCTGGAACTGACAGCAGGCAGAGGCAGAGAAAAAGGTGAGGGAACCAGAGAGTGTGGAGGTTACTGTGCCGAAAGGAAGCAACCCAACCACCTCAGGGACTATCTTCAGGCATCGCTCCTCCCCTTCAGCAGAGCCTCCAGATCTTAGCCTGGCATGAATTGTCTTGTCCCCTTTTCTCCTTTCAGGGGAGGGTTTGTGGCCATGTGTGAGGTCCAGGCAGACCCCATGTCTACCTGTCTAGAGCTGCTCTGGGCTGAGATAACTAAACCCTGTGTGTGCAGGGCTCATTCTGTGGGATGCCTCTAAATGTGCCAGTGACGAAGCTCTTTAGAGATGTGTTTGTGTGCCTGGGGTTGTCCCACCTGTCACAGAAGAGGCGCTGTGTCCATCTGTTGGACACACTCCCACCCCTCTGTTCCTTTTTAACCACAGATTTTCACAGTTTGCCTTACTTATTTAAATCTGTTATTTAGGAGGATGCGTGAACTGCTAAGTAAAGCTCTCGCCCATTGAAACCTGTTCTATCCATACTCTGTAGGTGGCTGTGGTCCCATAAGAGACTCTCAAGCCTGGGCATCCCTTAACCAGGCTAGAATTAGGGATGGGTCCTACTTGGACTGCTCAGAGCTTGTTACATTTTTTTTTCCCCCAAGAGTAACAATGTGACCACAGTTTCTGGACCTGTATTGCCAGGAATGGGACTCCCGTACTGCCAGGAACAGTACCACATGTTGTGGACATTTGATACTCTCGATTTGTGTTGTGCAGCAGGCCACTGGTTCATTTACTTAGCACCTACTATACGTCAAGCACCTGTGATACCCCAGAATGAACACTACCATAGAGAAAGACAGATCAGAAAGCCAAGGACCAATTGAGTTAGTGTTATGGAAAGCACAGACTACAACAGAGTGGCCCATAAAGATGAGGGCCCCTGTAGGGGGACACAAAACTGGGTGCTGGAGGAGGAAAGATGGACAGAGAAGTGTGTGGAGCAGTCTGGCTCTGGGCCTCGTTCCCTTCTTTGCCTAGAGGACCTCCCACCCTTCCTTCTCTGTCTCTGTGAATCCCTGGGAAAGGCCAAGCTCTGTGCACCGCCCATCACCAGCATCGCTTGGCTGCTTAGCCCGCCTGCTTACCCAGCCACTCATCTGCGGCATGAGTCTCAGCGGCATGTCAGACCCTCCCTAGACATACCTGTGCTATGGAATATTATTTTAAGATGTGTTACATTTGTCTATGCTGTGGGATGTTTGTTTAATGATGCAAAGATGCGTTGCATCCTTTTATGCCACATTTAACTCTGTGAAGCTGTGTTACTTTGCCTGTCTAAAAACACCCAGTTGGTCCAATAAAGAGCTGAACATCCCATAGCTAGGCAGCAGAGAGAAATAGGTGGGGTTGGCAGGCAGAGAATAAATAGGAGGAGAAATCTGGGAAGAGAGATAGGGGATCGAGAAAAGAAGAAGATGAGGATATCAGGGGCCAGCCACCCAGCTATGCAGCAAGCCACAGTAAGAAGTAAAGAAAAGCATATAGAATAGAGAAAGATAAAAGTCCAAAGGCAAAATATAGAGGGATAATGTAAGTTAGAAAAGCTTGGCTAGAAATAAGTTAAGGTAAGGCTGGGCATTCATAAGGAAGAATAAGCCTCTGTGTGATTATTTGGGAGCTGGATGGTGGGCCCACCAAAGAGTAAAGAGTAAAACAAACAAAACGAAACGAAACAAAACCTACACACCTGCTTCTACCTTGCCCCACAAACCCCACCTCAGTATCAGAGCTCATGACCTTCTTCCATCTCTGGCCATCTTGCTACAGCCTAGTCATTTTGTTCCTGGCAAAGCCCCAAGAGCCTGCCACACCTCAGCCTCTAGCCCACAGTAGGGGATGCCCCCCAACCTTCCTCTTTGCTTCCTGGTGACACATGTCAACCATTTTCAGGATGCCCAACTCCTTCCCTCCTCCCTCTCACACTCTGTTCTTGACATTTCACTATATGGTCACTGGTGTGATTTGAGTGTGACATGTTCACAGGCTCAAGTGTTTGAACACTTGGTCACCAGCTGGTGGCAATATTTTAAAAGCTTGTCTAGGAGATGGAACCCCCGCTGGAGGTAATGGGTCACAGGAGTGGGCCTTGAGGTTTTATGATCCAGCCCCACTTTTTGTCAGCTCTCTGCATCCTCCCCAGGTTCTACATATGCTTGCCCCTATGGAGCCAGGCACCATATGTTCCCCTCCACAATGGACTGTATCCCCTCAACTTGTAAGACAAAACAGCTTTTCTCCCCAGAGTTGCTTCATGTCAGATATTTGTTCACAGCAAAAAGAAAAGAAACTGGTATACTATTACTATTTGTTAATGTGCATGTGGTGTGTGTGTGTGTGTGTGTGTGTGTGTGTGTGTGTAATGGGTTTCCCCATGTTGCCCTGAAACTTATGATCCTACTGCCTGATAGGGGTTGCCCTTCTGTATATATGTTTCTCTTATTGATTAATGAATAAAACACTGTCTGGCCAATGAGGCAGGAAGATAGGTGGGACTAGCGCGAGGAGAATTCTGGGAAAGGTAGGTCGAGAGA